CATTACCACTTGATGTTGCCAACACTTTATGAATTTTTGCGTTCATTGGTTTTAATTTTAAACTTTACTGCAGTCAGGAGTGCAACAAAACTGCTTCATAATTACCGATGCTTTTTAACTATCTTTACTAAAAATTAAGTTGGAAAAAAAATGCTTGATACTATTTGATGTTCAAAACACTATGCCTATCAACAAATTACAGTAATTTGTCAGTCAATTCAGGGAATAGTTTTCATCATTTCACATATATTTTAAATACAGTTTATATATTTTACACTTTGCAAATAATCATGTTTTAAGGTCTTCAAAATATGAAAAAACTGCTGTAAACGATGAAAAATATCAACACGACAAATTGATTTACAAAGTAAGAATGGGTTATTGTGTGTTATAATTTTTAAAACAACGTTAAATAAAATACATATCAGATGTCAGGAGTGCAACACAATAATGTAACATAGGGTCACTTTAAAATCTAGTATTTTTCGTAAGAGAACTCGTATATAACAATTCTTTTTTGGCTTAGATTTAAAGAATTGATTTGAACGAACAAAAAAGTGAATTTTGGGGAATTTTATTGCTTCACATTTTTTTCATATTAAAACTTTTCAAACCAGAATTGAAAAAATAATGTAAAATAACAATCAAAAAGCCAATTTTTTGTCACATGTACAAGAGAAGATACTCATTCAAGGTCTAGATTTAATCATTTATACCCCTTTTACCATTTTGAAGCATAAAAAACTATAATTTCTTGTGATTATGTATTTTAGTTAGTCTTTTAAGGTGCAATGATATTTTCTTTTTTCAAAAGAAATTTTACTAATAAAAATTCTGAAACTTTTTAATCCAATTGTCTATTCTATTGCCACTTCAGGATTTTAAACTAGAATGCATTTGCAATATGATGATATAAGTGAAATATATGTTATAAGTAGTTGAATTTTGCCAATGGTGGTCATTTTTTTTTAATTCACCCAGATGCTTTTTGGCAAATCAGTGAGTGGTTCTGGCGAAGAAGTCAAAAATGTTAAAAACAGACAGACAGAGTCAGCTCATGTGAGCGAGCTAAAAACTTCAAAATACTTTCTTTGCAGTATTAGACCCTAAATAATATTACAAATTTCTTAACGTTTATTTTAAACACTAATTAAACATGTTTATATCATATACATGTACAGCAAAATATATGCATTTATTACAATGGACTTTACATGTAAGCAGGTCACCCCTGCACCCTTCATTCTCTAAAAGCCATTGGTCTCAGTCCCTTTGTGAGGCCTCGGCTCCATTACATTTAAGATATAAAGAGGGACTCAGACATTAACCTTTAAGCTTAATACCCAATCCAATAGCCAGATCTGTACATGTACAATAAAGTAGGAATTGGCTTTTATTATCCTTTATGTACTGACAGTCTGATACATTGGTACATGTACCATAACTTTCATATATGTACCTTAGTCCCACATTGTTAACAGTGTCCCACATGTTGATTGGTTGCTCCCAGTATGGTACTCCTACATTTTTCATAATAGCCTACAAGAATTTAAAAACAATAATAATTTTATAAGCAAAAGAAATCCCCCACTGTAGTTTTTCATATATGATGCTTTTATAATAATTTATCTTATTACATTATGGTTACATGTCCTTTTGTGGAGAAGAGGATTTTTAAAAGAACTTTTCCAAAAATTCTAACATATCATATGTACATGTACAACCAAGCATCTCCCAGCTGTGTAAACATGAAGTATACTCAAAATGACAACCAACTAAGCAAGAAATATACTCACTGTGACAGCCCAGTAAACAGAAAGTGTACTCACTGTGACAGCCCAGTAAACAAAAAGTGTACTCTCTCTGTGACAGCTGACTAGGCAAGAAATGTACTCACTGTGACAGCAAACAAAGCAAGAAATGTACTAACTGTGACAGCCCAGTAAGCAAGAAACGTACTAACTTGACAGCCAACTAAGCAAGAAATGTACTCACTGTGACAGCCCAGTAAACAAAAAGTGTACTCACTGTGACAGCCAAGCAAGAAATGTACTCACTTTGACAGCCCAGTAAACAAAAAGTGAACTCACTGTGACAGCTGACTAGGCAAGAAAGGTACTCACTGTGACAGCCCAGTAAACAAAAAGTACACTCACTGTGACAGCCAAGTAAACAAAAAGTACACTCACTGTGACAGCCCAGTAAACAAAAAGTGTACTTACTGTGACAGCCCAGTAAACAAAAAGTGTACCCACTGTGTGACAGCCAACTAAGCAAGAAAAGAACTCATTGTGACAGCCCAGTAAGCAAGAAATGTACTCATTGTGACAACTAGCTGCTGAACTGTAGCATTACGGTTTTCCATTTTAGTCTTTGACCATTCAGTCAAAGACTAAAATACAAGACCAAAATGCTACAGTTCTGCAGCTATGTGACAGCTAAGTAAGCAGGAAGTGTACTCACTGTGACAGACAAGAAAATAAGAAGTATACTCACTGAGACAGTTGTACTAAGACAGCTAGGTAAACAAGAAGTGTACTCACTGAGACAGCCCAGTAAACAAGAAATGTACTCATTGTGACAGCCAACAAGACAAGAATTGTACTCACTGTGACTGCTGAGTAAGCATTGTTGACCAGTATGTCTAGCTGTCCACTCTGTTCAGACTTGACCCTCTGGAACAGATTTTCCACATCTTCATCCTTGCTGTGGTCACACTGAACTGGAATACATTTACCTCCCCTGCTTTCAATCTGCAAAACAAGATTATAGTTATATGGTAAAATATGGAAAATATCTCCTTGCAAGGTACATACCACACTTTCACATTAATTGCTGCAAGGCATTTACAATTATCAATCTCTTTGATTTGCTATGAAATTCTGAAAGTTGCAATATGTCTATCAGAATTTTGGAGCAGTTCAAACAGACTGATACAATAATTGTACACACAATATAAACATGTCAACTACTGCCAATTATACCATTCAACCACAGGGGCTGGTAGTATACTATGCTTTGATTTTATGCTATCACCATATATATAAAAAAAATTTGAAATAGGAATTTTACATATATTACCCAATTTTAGCGGTTTTGAAGTAGCCCACTAAAATTTTAATCACTAAATTTGCATCCTTGTGTATAAGTACTGAATACAAGAAGAATGACTTTATTCAGTCTGTTGTCAAATAATATCTTTCTCATCTGGTGTTGGATTTTTTTTAAAATCTCGTCTGAATCAGTATTCAAGTGTATATTAAACGTACTGAAAACGCATCCAGAAGATGAACTTCCTCTACTTTACACGTCAAGGAACTGTGCGTCCGCCAAAAAAAAGTTCCGTCAAAATTATTGGCATACCTTTGAGCAAGCAAAATGCCAAATTTTACACCCACTAAAGAAACCCGCTATACGGTATAGTGATCACATAAAAACAAGCACAGTGTTACCAGCCCCAGTGCAGTAAATAACCCATTTATTGTGGCATACTTTGTTAGCAAGTTACCTGCATAAGTATCATATAAACATTTAAAATTAGACTGATTTTCAAACAGTGCAACTCTGTAGTACATTGTAAAATAAGATTCAATACTGAACATGCACAAAAAATTGTTCCTGTCTACATGTAGTTAGTACTTTTGACCATGAATAAGAAGATTTTTTTTACATCTTTTGCTGTGTCTGTCAGACAACTTCCCACGGACTCTTCACCTGGGGGTAGTGTTAACGTTCTACCTGCATAAAAAGTTACAGAGTTTTAATTCAGTAGCAATGTTATATAAATATGTCTTAAAAATAATAAAATCATTTTATATCCACTTTAATTATAGAGCTGTTAGAGAATCTTCATGAATGCATGGCATAAACTGTAGGACATATATGCATAAAAATTTCATGATACTTTCAGTAAAGTATATGCATGTCTATGGTTTTAATTACCTGTGATGTATACTGTAGCCCCTGCCTCCCCAAGCTGTAAAGCAATACCATGACCAATACCTCGTGTGGCCCCAGTTACAAGACACACTTTGCCTCGAAGTGACATGGTATTTGATCTTCAAGAAAGAGAATAAGGAAAACAGTGTTGAAAATTATGAATGTATCAACACAATGCAGAGTCAACTAACATTAATTTATACCCCCCTCCCCCCCCCCCCAACTATTTATTTGCTGCTTTTTAACATTTCACACCTCAACTAATATTAATTTTACAAATGACAGAACATGAAGTAAAATTTATTCATCAACCTATTAAGAACAATCATTCTTAATCAAATGCTTCAACATTAAATTGGGCCACTACTCATGCATTTATTTTGCTGTTACAGTAAAATAAACAATCTTGCAACCCGGCCTTAATTCGTTCAGGCATGCAGAGATTCTATTGATGAAAGAGCAATAATTCATCATTGATGTATTGATCGTGCATTATTTCCAAAACTGAAATACATATACCAGTATAACATAGTACAATGAATAACATGTATATTGTATATACATCTGTACATAGCTCACAACAACATTTACTCAATAATCTAAGTTTTAAACAGTACCTGTTAAAATATCTTTTAACGAGGCGACCTTTTAATATCCTTGTCGATGTATGATTAAACGAAATGAATATGATGCAGTTAAAATTTTCCAGCTTACTCTAGGCCTAACTGTTAGAAGAAAATCAACTAAATGCAGTTTCTTTCAATTTCACGTTGATGTACATGTACCTAGCCGACACATGACTGGAATGTTACGCAACTTCAACAGTGTTCAAGCCTTTATATACATAGTTTCAATAACACAGCAATGCAAACACAATATCATAAACATTTTATACACTTACTTTCAGCGTTTTACTCAAAATGACATCAAATATTTACGTGCAGTTCTAGACTACAGTCTATACCAGATAATACCGTGTTTACATGTGTAAAATCATGGAAACTTCCGAGAGACACGCAAGTTTTGAAAGCGAAAGTAAAAATCTTTCGGTACATTTCTGAATGTTTCCTGTACACACAGCCATGACAACATGCACAACCCAATTTTTTGATGCTCTGACAAATAAAGACCACGACAAGGTATGATTAAGAAAAAAATATGTAGTATTATTGCTATGACTTTTTTTTTTTACATTACAAGAGAAAGATTGCTAAAGGTCTCATTAAAATAATGCACCCCTCCAATATTGTATATTTGAACAAATTACTGGGAAACAGTTTCAAAGAATTAGTAAAGCAGTAAACTGATAAAGTTATGATGGCTAGGCCTACATGTATCACATTTGAGTGGTATACTAAAAGTTATATATATTCTTAAAATATAAGGTTGTAAAAGAAAAAAATGCTGTTATAGTGTAGATTTTACATTAGTTCAACGTATATAACACTGTATAAGCCTAACTGTAGATCTATAGTCAATGAAATTACCTCTTGGAAGAGAAAAGTGCAAATCTGTTGTCATGCCTAAACTGGAGATATATTTTTTACAGATTTTGGAATTAACTTCAAATGGATTGTTAAAAATGAAAAAGAAGTTTAACTATCGAAAAAAGAATGGACCTCATGAAGCTGATGAAATGTCAGCCCTCTTACTTACAATCAAGTACTGTTACCGTAAAGATATCATTGAGAAAATGATTGCATCAGGTACATAATTGTCAAAAATTTCCAGCAATATGATGTTTAGTCTGAAGTAATCTTTTAATTTATAGTCTTACTTCGTAATAGCAAAACCTTCATTACAATTTATGTATGTATTTATAAACCTTATTACTGCTAATTCTGATGGATATTTTCCCTTAAATTTTAATGACATTTGGGTCAGTTGAATTTTTACTCTTGGTAAGATAATGATTTGTGAAAATGTATGCCAGTACATTTAATTTTACAGGAGCCAATGTAAACGCCACTGGATATGAATACTTGTATCGTAATCTCAGCAGAAAGCGGCTGGTAACTCCCCTATATCTAGCGGTTAACAGAAGCTGTAACAAAGAACTTCTCAAGTGTCTGATATCTGCAGGTAAATTTTTGCACCAATTTCTCATGCACTTTGCACTTGTGACATGGACCCCCCCCCCCCCCTTCATCAGGGGATTGGGATTGGGGGGTGTCCTTTGATGCAAGTGCCTGTATAATTTTTGGCCTCATAAAGTGTGTATCTCTGTCTTCTTGTAACTCCATGTATTAATGACATGTGTTATTTAATGATTTTCTTACGATGTGAATATTTTTTGGCTCAAAACATAAACATTATATTTTGTGGGGAAATATCTAGAAAAGTTATTATGCCCCACTTCGAAGAAGGGAGGGCATATTGCTTTGCTGCTGTCTGTCGGTCGGTCTGTCTGTCTGTCGGTGCACCAACAGTTTTCTTTCATTTTCTTCGTAGAGGTTGTACATACTGAAATGAAATTTGGTATACAGATTTATCATAAGAATATCTAGGACAAGTTTTGTTTTGGGTATGATCAAGCAATTTTTGACAGAGTTATGCCCCTTGGACTTAGAAAAATTCCAATTATTTGCAGTTTCTGATCATTTTCTTTGCAGAGGTTGCACATACCGAAATGAAATTTGGTATACAGATTTATGGTAAGAATTTCTAAGTGAAGTTCTGTTTTGGATATGATCGAGCAATTTTTGACAGAGTTATGCCCCTTGGACTTAGAAAAATTCCAATTATTTGCAGTTTCTGATCATTTTCTTTGCAGAGGTTGCACATACTGAAATGAAATTTGGTATACAGATTTATCGTAAGAATTTCTAAGTGAAGTTCTGTTTTGGATATGATCGAGCAATTTTTGACAGAGTTATGCCCCTTGGACTTAGAAAAATTCCAATTATTTGCAGTTTCCGTTCATTTTCTTTGCAGAGGTTGCACATACTGAAATGAAAGAGCCAGGTACGTTAGTAGTGAAAATCAGCCTTTCTTTGAAAATTTAAAACAATTATAAGGAAATGACTTGAGGATGTACACTTTATAAATATATCAACAATTTTTACCTATCTTTTATAGTTTAGTTGCAATAGCCCTCTAAAAATGGAATGTAATTTATTTCATTTAACCGTTTTGAGCACTATGACGTCATTATCGCCGTCGATTAAGAACATTTAAATAACAACTGTAATGTATCAATGTATGTTATACGTAAAAAATCTTATATTAGAATGTTTACATTGGATAGTTTATTTACTTCAAGAAAATATTGTACAAAAAAGAATGTTTTAAAGAATAAATGATCTCCATAGTATCGATATACCCGAATATCATAACTGCAGTCAAAATTGCTTGTATAAGGTCGAGTGTGTTTTTCTCCACAAATAAATTTATTTTTTCTGGAATGTTTAAAAAAATAGATAGAGAGTGCAAATAGATGCTTGAAATGAAGCTTTTATTAACAAACAAGAACAGTGAGGAAAAATAACTTACTAACTTTAGCATTAATTTTGACCTATTTGCACTAAGGTTTAAATTATAATATTATAATACCGAAAATCGCCCTATTTGAGATTAATCAATACAATTTTCAAAAAGTATTAAATTATTCTTGCAAAATAGATCAATGGACAGCAAAATAATAAGAAATTATATCACCAGGATGTAATGATACATGTAACTCAGGCACGAAGTACTGGGGGAGGGGGCTGTCCCCTTTTTTCGAACATTACCTTTTCTATCGAAAATGTCCATTGAAGGGCTAGTTGCTCCTCTCCCCCACTTTTTGTTGCAGAGTTATGTGGTGATGTATGAAAAAAAAATCGATGTGGAAGAGATTGAGAAGTTGGACCTCCCTCCCACGAAATAGGATTTTCAAGTTTGATTCTGCCCCCCCCCCCCCCCCCCCCCCGGCCCTCATTTAAAAACCTATACTACGTGCCTGCAACTTAAGAAATATTTAGTAAAATTCATTGACTTCAGAATCCTGAAATTCTGAGTTACTCCAAGGTTTTGTTTAAAGTAAAAATATATTCTAGGTCGCTATTGCGCTGAGAAAGGGACGAAGGGGGGGGGGGGTGAAAGTAAGCTACTGGTATAACAAATAACCAAAAAAAAAAATCAAAGCTGACCCTAAGGTTCCTTGTGAACTGTACGTCAAAGTTAACGTCTTTTATTTGTCAAAACGTATAGACTGGATCTAATTTACATATCTTTGAGTCAGAGTCAGGCTCTAGTGGACATGCCTTCATAGTTTCCATCAGCATTTTTTTTAAATTTACGATGACCTTGCAAATTGATCTTTGACTTTGGACCACAGACAAAGGTGTCAACTAACAAAGAATAAATTAAAATCAATCTTCCTAACTTACCAACAGTGAACTTGCAAAGCCATACAAAACAGCTGATGTAAATTCAAATAATAGTAGTGATAAAATTTAATTTCATTTGTCTAATGGGGAATTCAGAATACTTTTCTTTCAAAACTTTGTGAAATATGAGATGAATTGCTTTGTCAAATGAGCTAAAAAATATTTCGATTATTCCCAGTAATTTTAACAATCGTGAATTATGTCTCTGACGCCGTTTGTACCATATCAACACATAACTTTATGATTGGACGCTGTTCTGTTTTCTTGAGCATTACTTGTGATTTTTCTGAACATATCCATCATCCCTCCAAGATATTAGAAAATGAAGACGGTCGACTCCTCTCATACACGATATATTTAATTTTTATTAAGCTTTGACTTGGTTTATGATAATATAGGTATATTTTTTCAACCCTTCATAAAAAGGTTGTAACATTTTAACCCTGGGCCATACGCACATGACCTTAAAGATGGCGTTTTTTTTTTTTTTGTTTTTTTTTTTTGTTTTTTTTTTTACCAAAAAGTTATAATGTTGGGTTGCCTTAAGTTGTATGCAAAGTACAGCGATAAGGTTACCAGTGTCTCGAAACGCGGGGTACTTATGTAAGCATAAGGTTAAACAAACATGACTTTTAATAACGCATCAACCAGGGTCATGTTGAATTCATTCCTTTAGATCTAGTGGTTTCAGCTTTAGAACCTGACTGTTGATCATTTGGGGACAAACAACAAGAAGAAATTAAGATATGAAAATAATTCTCCTGAGTCTTTATATTGTAACGCTAAATATTTTTTATATCCAATTAAAAGACAAAACTGTACGTGTACAAAATTTTTAGATGGCGTTACCATAAATTAACACTACAGATTATGGGTCGATCCTTGCATTGTACATTGATAAATTCATTGTACATTGTACAGTTATGATTTATTTACGGTATTCATAAATTAGCGCACTGTTGTCTGCGCCAAAGCCTCTAAAATATGAAGAACGCTTTTTAAAGTACACATACAGTATCTTCCTGGTACGTACGTCAGGGTCGGAGGGAGGTACCTTGAAATCCCTGGCCAAGTAGTTCAACTTCCCGATTTCCGAGATTTTAAGTATGATATATAAGCTCATAAATACATGTAGCCTATAGGTGGGACCCCCCCCCCCCACCACCACCACCACACACACATATACATCTTATTATTATACCACATTATAATTATTCTACACAACGCGTTATCTGATTGGTTCTAAATTGTCAAGTAACGGGGCCATAAAATTTCATATTTCCCTGTCGTCGTCATGCTTTTCATCATATTCAACCTCCTAGGAACACCACGCATTTTCTCGCAATACTTATAAATCGTTCGTTGACGAAAACTCGAGAGAACAACAGACATCACAAAATTTAAAATAGTAGTGTTGAATGCAATGACAAACAACAAGATTTTTATTATTAATATTATTTGATTTAGTAATAATCAATGAATTTGCAAATTTCCTGTCACAAAAGGGAGGGTGTAAAATAACTGAGTTAGAAAAAATTATAGATATATAAAATAAATTTTAAGTCATATTTGGGCGTATTTTTTGATAAGTTCAGGTAACCAAAATTAAAAAAAAAAATCTTTCTATTTGTTTTATTACTTTAGATAAGATAGGAGTTTCCTGTAAATTACACAATTTAAATCAATCACGTTTCAAAGATATTAAAAATTTAAAGCAATAACCGATTTATTTACCGACTCCACATTAAAATAACAGACAAATTTAAAGTCAATTTAACTATAGAAACGTGAGGTTATATAAGTTCAAAATCGGTGAAAATTTTAATTCGAACGTAAATAACATTTATCATATATATTTACACTAAGTCTTGTATTATTAATTTCAAGCTCAGATACGCCATAAATAGCTTTAAAAAATATTTTCAGTATCTTAGAATTTCATAAAATTATATGAAGCTGTCCCATTCAGAAGTTTTCATTTTAGTCGAACATTATTTTATTTATTCTCATCTTAACTTTTCTGAGGAAAACTTAAACAGTTATATGTAATTTCCCCATTCTTCTTTCTTGAATTTAACCGCATTGTTTCAGTGTTCTCAGGGACATAAATAACACATACTTATGCCTCTACTGTTCTCAATTATCATTTCAATTATTTTTTGAGAAGACATAAAAACATTTTAAATGGTTATGTTTTCTTTTTCGTTTCTATGTGATGGTATATAGATTTAATTCATTGAAAGATTATCATACTTAAAATACACTAAGTATAAGTATGTACTAATTAAGCTTTTGGAGAAAGGGTGTAAGTGCTATAATATTAAAATAATTCATCTGTGCATTGAAACATGTAAACTTATCAGCATTTTTACAGATGATAAAAAGTGTTAATTTGAGATTTTTTTATATCTAAAATGAATCATCTGACTACAGTTTTCTTTTACTGTGAGAAATTCTCAATTATTTTTTATCAAATGTTTGATAAAACAACGTATTGTTTACAGTAAAATATCGAACGAAAGACTGAAAAATTGGAAAAACTTTTGGCGCGTCCCTGTATGTTGTCAATGTAAACAATGAGGACGTCTATATTTAGAGTTCGATGTACAACCTGGAGACGTTAGGTTTTTGCCTTAAAATTATCATAAGATACTTTTTTTTAAATATAAATTTAACAACCCAATAACATCTCAATTATGTCTTTTAACAAAACACCGTCTGATATTTAGACAGTATTGGTTGCCTGGAATGAAAACGAAAGTAAAAAGGGTGGTCGCGGATACGAATTTTTAACAACTGAGTTATTAAAATAATGCATTTTATCATTTAGTTTTCTACAAAATAAACATGTATTCGATTGTTATTTATTTTCTACGAATATGATAAAAATACCAAGCTAATATTCCATTCCCCTCACGTCAAGATCTGTATAGCAGACGACCGATAATATCAGAATTTGTAAAAATTCAATGTGGCCACAGCCCACGGCCAGAACGAAACCTGTATAAATCAATCCCTTTTATGCTTTAGTGTTTCTGTTTAAAATATCTTCGTGGCCGATGCTTGTGGCCACATCGAATTTTCCCAAAAACCGGGTGAAAAGTGAAGAAAATTGCTTGTTTTCCGGATACGGCATAGGTTTGGATATTACATAGCAGCAGAAGAAGCTTGGATCCGCCCAAAAGTTTACATATACAAGGACTAAGGATCATAAACTTTATAAATATACATGGTTAGTGAGGATACGCAGACTTTATTTTTTAAGCATTTTGCAGGGCCTGTTGACATTAGCTAACGTACCTAGCTCTTTGGTATACAGATTTATCATAAATATATCTAGATGATCTAGGTCAAGTTCTGTTTTGGGTATGATCAAGCAATTTTTTACAGAGATATGCCCCTTGGATTCAGAAAAATTCCAATTATTGGGGGGGGGGGGGGGGGCATAAGTGTTTCACAAACATTTCTTGTTCTTTTAATGAATTTGATCATTATATGAAAAACTGTTGGATTTGTTATGTCATTGTCAAATAATGATAGTTATTTTTTAATCATAGTCAGTTTTTTCAGTGCTGCCACATTGGTCAACATTTCCACATTTACATTCCTAAAGAACAAAAGAGCAAGCATGATAAAATAAATGCAGATTTTTATGTCAATTTATTTAAAAACTTCCTGTAATGAATGGGAAGCTGGAACAGAAATAACAGCAGCCTGATTTCAATCTGATAGGGATTGTCCCATAATAACTTATTTGAATTACCTGTATAATTTCCAGGGGCAGATTTGAACAAATTCTCTGGTCAAATAACAGAAAATGAAGAGGAAGGAGGAAGCATGGTGATGGATTCCCAATCCGCCAGTCTGAACTTTGCTCTCCATTCTCAGTACTATGATGCAGAGGTGATAGACATCTTACTAGAGAATGGAGCAGATCTCAATATCAAGAACGATTCTTCATTGCTTCCACTACAAATAGCTACATTATATAATTACAGTGATGCAGTTTTATCACTTGTACGATACGGTGCAAGTACCAGTCCTTCGTCCTACTCTGAATATTCTCCCCTTGCTCTGCTGTTAGATTCGGCAGAGTTACTTTCTCCTGATGATGAACTCTCTTCAGAGGGCCGTGCAGAAAAGCGCTTTAACTTGTTAAGGTGTGTCCAAATTCTTCTGAATGGTGGATACGATGTGCTCTGTGACACTGAAATGCAGGATTTGTGCCAAAAAAGCAAATGTGGTGAAGAAATGGATGATATTCTGTTAGAAGTGGCTAAAATTATAACTGCCTGGGTGTATCAACCTAAAGATCTGAAAGTTTTATGTAGACTGAAAATTCGTCATAATCTTCAGGTTGTTCAGACAGCATGTAACCCAAAAATACTTAACAAATTACCTCTACCTAAAGCTTTAATTAATTATTTGAATTTGAGTGATTTTGATTAAAGTACTTTTCACTTATTTTGTTTTGTTTGCTGACATTCTGAAAATCTCTCAGCAACTGTTGTTGATGTTGATTACCAAGTTTTGTCCAAGGATTTCTATTTTACCGTCCTAAGTTTTTAATACCATCCACAAGCACTTTTTTCACTTAAAAAAAAAGGAGGGTTCATTGGCTTATAGTGGCTTGATTTTATTGAATTAAAAAATGGGGTCACTCAGGTGACCTATTGCAATCTGTTTTCGTCCGTCGGCGAGCGTCTGTCGGTCGTAAACTTTTGAACATTTTCAGCTTCTTCTCTGGAATTGCAGAATCAATTTCAAGAAATTTTGGTATAGAGCATCTTTGGGCAAAGGGGGGCAACAATTATGAATTTCATGGTCCCTGCCACCCTTGGCCTGAGGGGTGGAGCAAAATCCATAAAAAATCATTTTTGAAAAATCTTCTTCTCTACTCCTGGACATTAAGCAGTCAAACTATTTTCATGATTACAACATACAATTAGAATGAGTCCTTTACCTAAATTGTGAAATTCTTGGCCCCAGGGTCAGGGTTCAGGAGTTAGGGTGGGGCTCTATTGATCACATAGTGAAATTGCATATATTCTTTTAAAATGCTTTTTCTACCCCCCCCCCCCCCCCATATTAAACAAAGAAACTAAGTGCATTGTTATGATGAACAAAAGTGTCTCTTCTAAAATTGTGAATATCATGACCCCTGGGTCGGGGGTTCTGGTGTAAGGGGGGGCGGGGGCTGTTTTGATTATATAGTGAAAATGCATTATTTCTTTAAAAATCTACTTCTTTGCTCCTGAGTATTTGATAGATGTATTAAATGCATGGTTATGATGAGCAAGACTGCCTTTTCCAAAATTTTGAATATCATGGCCCCTGGGTCGGGGTTCTGGTGTTGTGGGAGGGGCCCTATTGATTATATAGTGAACATGCATTAATTCTTTGAAAATCTTCTTCTCTGCTCCTGGGCATTATTTAAACAAACTAAGCACATGGTTCTGATAAGCAAGGATGTCTCTTCCAAAATTTTAAAATCCACGACCCCAAGATTGGGGGTTCTGGTGAAAGGGGGGGGGGGCTTTATTGATTATAAAGTGAAAAAGCAAAATTTCTTTGGAAACATTATTTTCTGCTCCTGGCTATAAAGCAAAGAAACTAAGTGTATACTGTAGTTATGGCAAGTAAGAGTGCTTCTTTCAGAATTGTGAGTTTCATGGCCCCTGGGTCAGATGTTCTGGTGTAAGGGTGGGGGCTGTATTGATAATATAGTGAAAATGCATTAATTCTATTAAATAATCCTGTCTGCTCCTTAGTGTTGAGTAGATAAACAAAGTGCATAGTTATATTTTTAAAACTTGTTTTTGGTCCCAGGGTCAGGGGTTTTGATGATTCTCCTGGGGGGGGGGGGGGGGGGGATGAAAATGTGTTTTAAATTCTTTGAAAATCTTTAAATAAGTGCAAAAGTTATGATGATAAGGGTACCTTTTCCAGATTTGTGAATTTCATGACCCTGGGTTGTGGGTTCTGGTGTTGGGTAGGGCTGTTTTGAATCTGTAGTGAAAATGCATTATTTTTTTGAAAAATCTCTTCACTGCTCCTGGGCATATTAAAGGCAAACAGAGTAAAAGTTTTAATAAGCAAGGGTATTTTTATCAGATTTTTTTAACATTTCCACCATTTTGTCAAGTGTTCTGGTCCTGGCAAGGGCTCTATTAATTTGTATTCTACTGAGAGAAATAATTCCCATTTGCCATTCACTTTTGATAATCAATCATTGTAAATAATGTATTTGAAAGGTTAATAGAATAAGAAAATTATGCAAGAATTTTTATTATATAATACAAAAAAGTATTTCCATAGTTTTGATTATCAGGTAGACTTGTAAATAATAGATAAATAAAAATGACACAAAAGTCACTCATTTTATTAAACTTGTTAAGACCAAGAGAGACAAATGGGAGAGGTCATAATATGGGGTTAATAATAGTACAGAAGCACCTGTTGTTTGTTAATAGTAGTCTTATTAAAAAAAGTTTGTCAATACATGTAGTATGCAAGGTGATTAGTGAAAAATGGGGGATAGATTAGAACTCAATTTATGAGCTGTTACTGAATATTGTTTTTGGTTAGCAAAGCTTCATCTTTCAGTTTATTTTACACTCTATGGGTCCTCTAAGTTGTTGTATTATACTGTAGTATGGAAAGGAGGAATGAGTTAATATACATTGAAAATTCATAAATATATATATAATGAAAAACATATGGCTGGACCGGGAATCGAACCCGGAACCCCTGCATTACTAGTCAGGTGCTCTAACCACTGAGCTATCCAGGCCGATGTCCTCAGTCCAGCCTAAATTCCTACATTCCTCCCTCCTTAAATAGTCTTCGCCCCGGAAGACACAACACAAGTTCACCTTGTCAGGACTTAACATTAATTACACATACATATTATATTGCCTGAACAAGGTAGGTCACGGCACCATCTGTAGTATGGAAAGGAGGAATGAGTTAATATACATTGAAAATTCATAAATATATATGTAATGAAAAACATATGGCTGGACCGGGAATCGAACCCGGGACCCCTGCATTACTAGTCAGGTGCTCTAACCACTGAGCTATCCAGGCCGATGTCCTCAGTCCAGCCTAAATTCCTACAATACTCAGAAGGCCACTAAGGCCCTTGGGCCTCTTTTTTTTTAACCAAAGATAGATTGCATCAAGTTTAGTAATTGGTCAAGTGGCTTTGAGGAAGACAATATGTGAAAAAAATATTACAGATGACAGATAGATGCTGAGCACTTTTCAATCAGAAAAGTTCAACTGCGAGTTTGGCTCAGGTGAGCTAATAACACTTTGCACAATTGTTGTACGTGTTAAGTCAACACTAAATGCAATTACCAAAAGTAATCACATAACTTCATGAAACATTGCATGAGTTACAAATACCTATTCAAAATATCTGACAAAGGGATGAAATACTTTTTATACAAATAGATTTATCAGCATGCATCAACCTGTGGGCTAGAATCATTTAGAATTAGCCGATTATTCTAATGATAGAAATAATTTTTGACTGCAATAAATATTTTGAAGATAGAGTATATTAAACATATAGAATATATATATTTTTTTCATGAACAATATTTTTCTCAATAAAATGAAAATCTTACTTTTGGCTATATATAAGTATATATTTATCGTACATTGCTTAGGTTTTCCACACAATGACCGAGTTACTTTAAACGGTTTTAGGGGGAACAAGGAATAGCTTTGTTGCTTAACAAGTTGAGCATGAAGAAGTCAACTGATGTGAAAAAAAAATTAATTCCAAACTTGTTGACAATTCGCCCTCTTTTAGAGAAAATCCACAAATAAAATTTCAAACTACGCTGTTGCATTCATGTATATTCAAATGATGTACATGTACACTCTTCTCGATGACAAATGAATTTTTCAAAAAAATATTTAAAATGCAATAAAGTCTGTTTTTAACAATGTGACTAAGTATATTATCGTAATTTATCTTTAGAAAATGCAACCGAGCGTCTGCACAGGTGTGTTTAAAATTCATAATTAACACAAAACTAAGTCGACAATGGCTGTCGGACGTCTTCATCTTGGATTACCTACACGGTCTTCACGTCATGTCATAGTACGACTTTAATTACCATATCCTAATAACAACAGTATTGTTTGACAAAACCACAGAATTAATTAAGTTTCAGACACAGTCTTCGTTTTTATTCTCTCTCTCACGCTCAATTTATTCACCCAAACCAGAATATTGGTATATGGGGTATATTAATAACATATGTGCATTTTATACAACTGGTCGGATCGAGGTACAAATACGATACAAAAACAATACATAAAAAAAAATAAAAATAAAAAAGAGAGGGGGAAATATATCAAGGAGGACAGACAGCATCATGAATTCTTACGATAACATGTTTTTTTTCCAGTTTTTTTTTCCGTTTTATGTTGACATAAGTTCCATTTTATTAATATTAACTTTCGGTCTGTGAAAATAATAATTGCCAGGGTATTTTTTCTTAAATTAACGAAAGTTTTACATTCTAGGATATGAACATAAAACAAAATTCATCTGCAATCTGAGCATTATTACAGTGTTTACAAATTCTTTCGCAAAGTGGTACATTATACCATTTAAATTTTCAGTTTCTATTTGTAGGTGATGGTATTGCAGCACAAAATTTTCAAAGTATTTTTCTTAATTTAGGATCAATATAATTTTTATATCCATGAATTTGCTTAAAAATTCTGTAAAGTCGACCTTATGAGGAATTATCTACGCCTCTGGAACACTTTGGAATAAATTGATCTTGTAAATATTTGTTTTACAATAGCTGTTATCCATTTATATTTTATACTGACATTCTATTCGTACTATACATTTGATAAATCACACATATTACAGATTTTCTGTATGCTGCGGAAGCGTATTAGTGCCACGCTATATTTTTTTAAAGTTTGAAATTCCAACTTTAAAGTTGAAAAAGCTACACTGTAACTTTAAAATTTGAATTTCCAACTTTAAAGTTGGTTTTTCCAACTCGGAAATTCCACATTTAAAATTGGCTTTTCGAACTTTAATCTTGGCTTTTCCAATTTTAAAGTTGGTAATTCCAAATTTAAAGTTGGTAATTCCAACTTAAATCTTGACTTTTCCAACTTTAAAGTTGGCTTTTCCAACAAAAAAGTTGATAATTCCTACTTTAAAGTTGGTTAAATCCAACTTCAAAGTTGGCTTTTCCAACTTTAAAGTTGGCCTTTCCAACTGTAAAGTTGATATCATCAACTCTAAAGTTGAAAAGGCCAATTTTAATCTTGGCTTTTACAACTTTAAAGTTGGTAATTCTAACTTTAACCTTGGCTATTCCAACTTTAAAGTTGGAATTACCAATTTTAAAATTGGCTTTTCCAACTTTTTCGGGCTTTATACGTTTTATTCGTATATTTTGTTGTTAATTGGACTCGTGTTGCTGTTTGTAATGGAAATAAACAATTTTTTTTATATAGTTATGATGAAAGAAGGAATAATTTTCATTGTGTTTTTATATAGAGAATTGATACATTTTGTACAGTTGTCTTTGTTGCATGAAATATGATGTTGATTCACATCCTATAAATCAAAAAACTTAATATTTTGGTTCCATTTGTTTAAACTTACACTCAATAAATTTGTTTTTGTATCTTCTCAAATAGGTATGATCGAAATGCTCTCATTTACAGCGTTGTATGAAGATACTATATCCTCGAAAAAATCATACAGGGAGAAATATAAGGGTTTTTAAAGTTGAAAGTTATATGTAAGTCATATGAAAGGTGAAGGTCACAATTAATTGACATTTTAATTGCTAACCTATTTGTTTCAGTATATTAAATTTACATTAATAAAAAGCTGATAATAATATTAAATAAAGAAGAAACACTACAGAAAAGGTTAGAAAAGCAAAAATTAAAGTTGGAAAAGCCAATATCAAGTTTGAAAAGCCACCTTTAAAGTTGGAATTACCAACTTTTAAGTTGGAAATGCCAAGATTAAATTGGAAAATCCCACTCTAAAGTTGGAATTAATAATCTTTAAAGTTGGAATTACCAACTTTAAAGTTGGAAAAGTCAAGTAAAGTTGGAATTACTAACTTTAAAGTTAGAAACGCCAACTTTAAAGTTGGAATTACCAACTTTAAAATAAATATTACGTGGCACTGATACGCTTCCGTACGCATTGATCTTCCTCTATTTCCATGGCAACGGCGGTCATTTTGAATGTTGCGAAATTCACAACTACATCATCATTACCGTGAAGTTCAATCAAGATTGTCCGAGACATACAGGTGTGGACCAATTTAAGTGAAACAATAACAATATGTCGACCGACTTAGAACGGGTTCCATTCCACATAAAAACAAGATGTGTTTGTGAAACACTGATGCCCCCGTATGGCAACTTATAGCAAAGGTTAAACTTTCTCAAATACAAATCAAATATGTTCATACCCAAAGTAAGGTTTTGTCTCGAGGAATATACCCGTGAAATATAAAACCCTAGCAGCAACCATTGAATAGATATGGAAAAGGTTAAAGTTTTCAAAAGTAAGTCAAACATCAAGTCAAGGTCAAATGGTCAAAATTAATGCTAAAGGAAAGGCCTTCTCACAAGGAATACACATGTGAAATACGAAAGCCGTTGCACCAATCGTTCAAAAGTTATGACCAAGGTAAAAGTTTTTCAAAAGTAGGTCAAACTCCAAGTTCAAACACCAAGGTCAAAGTTGTTGGTATCCAAAGGAAGGTCTTGTCACAAGAATTATATATGTGAAGTATGGAAGCCCTAGCAACAACCGTTCAAATGTTATGGCCAAGGGTAAAGTTTCCAAAAGTAGGTCAAACACCAAGGTCAAAGGTCAAAGTTGTTGGTATCCAAAGGAAGGTCTTGTCACAAGGATTATATATTTGAAGTATGGAAGCCCTAGCACCAACCGTTCAAAAGTTAATGCCAAGGATAAAGTTTTCCAAAAGTAGGTCAAACACCAAGGTCAAAGGTCAAAGTTGTTGGTATCCAAAAGAAGGTCTTGTCACAAGCATTACATAATTATGTGAAGTATGAAAGCCCTAGCATCAACCGTTCAAAAGTTATGGCCAAGGTTAAAGATTTCTAAAAGTAGGTCAACTCGAAGGTCAAAGTCCAAGGGTCAAAGCTGTTGGTATCCAACAGAAGGTCTTGTTACGAAGAATACATATGTTAAGTATAAAAGCCCTAGAACAAACCCTTCAAAAGTTATGGCCAAGGTTAAAGTTTTTCGAAAGTAGGTTAAATTCATAGGTCAAGGGTCAAAGAATTTGATATACAAAGAAAGGTCTTGTCACAAGGATTACACATATGAAATATGGAAGCCCTAGCACCAACCATTTAAAAGTTATGGCCAAGGTTAAAGTTCGGTAAAATTTTGCAAAACTGGGTCAACTCCAAGGATAAGGTCAAAAATGGTGGTACTCAAAGAAAGGTATTGTCACAAGGAATACACATGTGAAATATGAAAGCCATATCTCCAACCAATCAAAAGTTATGGATAATGTTAAAGTTTTTGCGGACAAACAGACAGACAACCAGACAGACAGACGGACAGGGCAAAAACTTTATATCCCCGAATCTTCTATACGGGGGCATAAAAAATAAATACATGTAGATTAGAAATCTTAAAATCTAGGCATTAAATGCAAAGTCTTATTAACATATTTAATTTTTGTAAACATATGTAAAGGTGTAGACCTGTATGCATTGTTCACATATATACAGATTTATTAATGAAATTTTTACCTTTTATTTTAGATTTAAAAGTTCTGTCATGTAAATTTTGAATTTACTAGGTGGAGGTAAATGCAAAATTTACATGATAGTTCAGAAAAGAAACCTAATTGTTCTCTGAATCAGTAACAATTAACAGCGACCACTAGAATTGATTTCTGCCTGCTTAGTAAATCACACAGCAAAACTTCTTTTATTTCCAGCAATCTATTTGCTCTGTATCTTGTTAACATCCTATCATAATGTAAATGTATATCTTTTGAGGAAGAAGAATTGAAGTTTTAGAAAATTTTGAGAGGGCATCAAACTTTAATGACCTAGAGCTGTCATGTCATTGTAATGAATTACAACGCCTAATATGGAGGGCGTTAGAGTTTCTTAAATATACAGCGCATCAGTTTCTGGACAGTTCTTGTAGAAACGCTAAAGAATAAAACAAATGGCTCTCTCTTGAAACATTTCGCGGCGCAGTTTGTTTCAGACGACTCTTTGCTTTACCAAAATGCATTCTAAAAAAATTCTTTTGATTTTCTTGATTCTGAAATTTGTGGATGCTCAATTTCAGAAAAGCAAAGTGCATTTGGAAAAAATATCAAGTTTGTACATTCCGTCGCGTTATGATTCAAATGATTTTCCGAAGTTTAAACTCGGAAAACATGCAGCGGAACAGCTTGCCTACGATCCGGTGCAGAAGCTTTTGTATGTCACAGGTATTGCTATAATTTACTTACAACATTTCTCAGTAATTTTTGCAATTCCTTCTCATTTATTTTTAATAAGTACATATGGTAAAAATTAATTAATTAATTTTATAAACACATTGCATTTTTATGCATTGGCATGAAAATCTTATAATAGCCATCTTATTTTATTTACTATTTTCATTTTCTATTTGCAAACGTATTTTTTTTTTTATAATTCATGATACAATGTATTTGTTTGTTTAAAAGGATCATTTAATAAAAAAAAAGATTGAAAGGAGATGGGTGAACATGACGAGCGATAAGCCTATAGTGTGACAAACATGAAGATGAAAAATTAAATTTCTATTATATCAAAATTTTCCTTGATATTTCGTCTAACATTAAAATATACTTTATGTAAAATCTCTACAATTTGCAAAAATCCCTCAAAGATTGAAATTATTTGCCTGTGAAATATTAGACACACACTGAAGCGGGCAAAAAGAGTCATTTTCGCATACTATAACACTATTTTTCGATATGAGTGGGTCTTCGCTCCACCTTTTTGAAAGTTAATCCTCAAAGTTTGCATGAAAGTATACATTTTTTGGTTACCAAAAATATGGAGCAATGACCCACTATACCTTAAAAATATACTTTTATGACATAACATTCGCATCTTTTCGAGAAATACTTGAAGTCCATTAAGTCAAGGGTCATATCACAAACATGATTTAAATGCCACTGTTCGTCAGGACTTATGTAGTCCAGTGGTTAGCGTGCTAGTCTCGAAAGAAAATGATTCTCAGGATTTTTATTGCTAGGGTTCGAACCCCACGAATACCAAATTAATTTTTTTTAATAAAAGAATAAATTTTGCCGAGAAAATTTTCCACAGAAAAGTTTTGTTTATCACAATTACATAAAATCACAAACTGAACATGATTTTTATATTTCTGAAGCTACATGTATAGGCTTTCTGCTCGCTATGTTCGCCCATCTCCTTTCAATTGAAAAAAATATATGACAGAAAAAGAATGCATTTTAGTATTTTTTTTTCATTATATACAAAGTATACGTTATTGTTACCTTCTAAACTGTTGAACTTAGATATTAATTATGACTATTGTTGACTACAGAATTAATTCTTGCAGTGTTTCCATTGTGAAAGTACTGTCATATCGTTTTGCTGAAGTTTGTATTAAAAATAAAGCTCCGCAAGTTAATAGATAAATAAATAAATAAATATCGCAACCGAAAGTCAATTATACAAAATCATTAGTAAGACCAACAAAGACAATTTCATTTCATTGTTTCCATGTGTCAACGTTAAGAATATTTTCCCTAATTTGCAGTTAATTTGCACATAGCAAGAATACCATAATATTCCGAGTTTGATAAAGATTCGTTAAAGTTTGACATGGCAAGTAAAAGGTCAGCATTTCAAAGAAAAAATGCAAAAATTGTTCAGAAGGGACAAGTGCGACTGTTACATTATCACACAAAGACAAGCTGTATAGTGTGTATACAGCGTTAATATGATACTTTCAGTTTGTCAGTATAATTATATAAGAGTTCTAGACCATTCCCTTTAATTTGGACCCACTAGTCAGAACAAGGACCATGCTCTGCATTTTGCTTTATTTGTCGACGCAGATTTATTTATGTCATATTTGAAAACAATTTTGATTCAACTTTACAAAGATATCCTTATGTATACTTAGTCAACTCCCTCCCCTCCCAATACGTTGACCTTTATGCTCATAACTGCGAGTACAAGCATTACTTTTTACTTCGTTACATTTCATTACATTAATTACTTTGTTGTTACATTGCGCACTACTTCAAAGCGACCATAACAGCCAATATATAATAAATAGTCTTACCATTTAAAAATAACTCTTTCAATGCAAAATTGCAATATGAAAAATGAAAAAAAAAATGATTGAAAATGACTTTTTTGTTCTACTTTGCCACTTTTTATTTTTATTTCAGGCGAGGAGAGGCTTTCCGTTGTAGATTTGTCCAATCCAGACGACCCTCGAATAGTGTACCGGAAACAGTTTGATAAAATGGACCCAACAGATGTGGAATATTGCGGAAATCATGTATTTGTTACAGTCAACAACGACGATAATCCGGAAGAAGGGAGAGTCATGGTGTTCCGGACGTACAATAAACGACATAACACCATGCCCATTGTACTTAATATTGTTGGTAAGGCTTTACAGTAAGACCCGTTCCTCAAATATCTGTTTTGTTTTTTCTTGTAATATATAAGAAATATTCATAATATTAACATTATCTTGTGCTTTTTAAACTGTTTTTAAAATGTCTTAGAAATACATAAAAATGTGATATTGACAATTTAAGTGATTTCAGATAGGATTATATAGGAAACACTACCCTCTGGTATCTTGCACAAATGCCCGGTAAGGTACCTCAATTTTTTGTGTAGAAAGTTGTTAAAGTTGCAGTATTTCAATGACAAATTCTTGGGGGGAATTATATATAATATTGAGGAACGTGTCGTCTGATCTTAAGGTGCTCAATGGATGTTAACCAGTCTTTGGCAATCAGCAATTTGCGTTATGCAATAAAGCATTTGTTAGAGACGACTAGAAATTAATATTGTTAATTTTTTTTGTTTTATGATAGACTTCAGAGTTTCATACAAGTATTCTTAGAGAGAAAGGTAATAAAACGGTCCTGGTGAAATTATTCTACTTGCCAAAATAAAAACCTGGCTTAAATTAAGATTTATATTGTGTATCAAAAACATTTTTTAAGGAAAGATACAAATGAAAAATTTGTCTGAATTTTAATTAACAATGCTTGTATATGTCAGTTTTTGAGAATCACACGTCACCAGCATGCATACATGAAGTACTTCAAGAAGGATTTGACAAATGTAATGCAAATAACTAATTTGCTGACATTTCATCTTTGTTACAGAATGATATTTATGAACATAATTAGTAATGGTGGGATCATAAAAAGTTAATAAATGCTGTGACACCTTGTTGTCTGTAATAAATTCACTATTAGTTACCTACAATTTCGAAACGAGTAATTGTAAAGAGAGTGTACATGTAATAATAATTTTTGTTGTTGTTGTTGAAGTTCAGGGCTCGTTAAGACAAAAACTGGTCGTACAGAAAGATCTTTGTCCTGTCTTGACCCAATTATTTGCCTGATATGCATACTCTTTGCTAATGAATACATGTAATTAGCAATTTTGTCACTGAGGAATTTGGTAAAATCCTCATTTTCTTAACTGCCTGATTGTCAGACATTTTTATTTGAGAATGCGTGTTGCAAACCTACTTTGATATCACTTATTTCTGTAGTGATTTAATTTGCGTTTTTTCGAAGTGAGAGAGGCACATGAATTTATGTCCACCACGAAGTGTAATTTTTCACATATATTATACTCAACAATTTCTTCATCCACGAAATCAAATCCCCAGGAACCCATTTCCCCCACAAATTCGACCCCACGATAATATGTGATTTTACAGTATATCATGATCATTAATCTGAATGTAAAAAGCATCATTTTAAATTTTTAACATAATCTGTTTGTTCAGTAAATGTTCCAGTATTAGCTTCACTTCTTTAAGTTTACGTGTTGATGTTTAGATATTTTGATAGCTATTCATACATCTCCCTTCTGACTCTTTTCATCCAAATTGCTGACATCCTTGGACCAAGTGTATTTTAATACCCAGAGATTACTTGGGATTCAAAGGAAATATTTAGTAAAAATTAAAGAACTTCGATACTTTATAAAATGTTCTAAATGCAGGTTCCCAAATTCAAGAATACACCTCCTCCCAGCGAAGGATGCAGATTTTATTTTTGCTAAAAAAAAAAAATCTGCGTATCTATGCAATACAATGTACAAAAAAGTTAGCATTTTGATTTCAGCTGGCCCGTCCCCTAATTCATTGCTTCCTACCTCCAACTGTCAGACAATATTGGTGGCACTAGAGGGGGATCCGTTTGCCAGGGGAGGCAACCTCATTGACCCAGAAGGTGGCATTGGGGTACTCAAGTTCCCATCCAATTTCATCTCCGAGAATACATACAATTACAAAATTCTGGATTTTGGAAAATTTAACAAGAAGTAAAGTCTTTTCATTCTCTTTAAGTGTAAAATTGAAACAATTAAGTGTACATTATTTTATTTTTATTTATCTATTTATTTTGGCTTTTTGTCTCTGAGATGGCATGTTACACAATATTTACTATGGTTTAGCAGTTTTTATTAATTATGTAAATGTATAAATTAGAGGACAAGATAAAACTTGATGTCAGTTAAAGTCATTCAAAAGGTTAAAGATTTCAATTTGACAAAACATTTTTTAGATTGTTTTTTATTCATTGATTACCTAGAGTGTAAAAAAAAAACAACAACGTTCCATTAGATGTAGTAATAAATTTATATCGCATTTTCTAATCTATATGCAAAAATTATTTTTCAAAATTTCTCTTTATATTATTTAAAGTTTATATTTAAATCAATTAAATTTTGAAGTTTATTCATTGTTTTTGAAGATATTCATTATTAGCAAGGAGTGGTGTGCGTTTCGTTTACAAGGAAAACGGCAATACTTTCGCACAGGACCTTGAACCGGAACAAATTACCCTGAGTGCTGACGAAAAAAAAGCGTATGTTACCTTGCAGGTAATTTGCATCTTGTACATTTTTTTTCTCGAATTAATGTAACTCTTTTTTAACAAACTTTCTGTTATGTTATATAGAGTACAAATTAAATTAAGATTTATTTTCCTCCTAGTCATTTTGGTACAACAACAACCATCTATATACAGTTTCCTTTTGCAATTATCATATGATTAATTACACCTGTCTTGATAACGGCTGACCACCTTAAGTTAACTTTGAATTGAAGCATGAATATTTCTGCGCAGAATTCTAATCTGATGCAAGACTATTATGTAATGTGTTATAAAAACAAAAAAGCTTGTCATTTGCTAAATATAAGTATTTTTTGTGAACTAAGTGCATAATTTATTTTAATTTTTCTGTTAATTTTTTTTAGAAAGATATGAACGTAACAAAGCCTAAATGCAATTTGTGAAAAATGCGATTTCTTTCTTTAAAGGATATCCGCTCCTCAGCCAGGAACGATAACTCTTAAAATCATTATATTTGAATTTAAAAAAATCTCAAAATAAAACTTGAAAGCTTTCAAGCTGGTTCAAGATTCTTTGAAGTCTTAGAAACGGCCTTGTAAAAGTTGACATTTGTACCCACAAAAGAACAAAGATAAATACATTTTTAAAGAAATCGAATATCCTTTAATCTAGCCTTTGATATCAACGTTTATTAGCATGATATGAAATTATGAATAACATGTGATATCTTGCAATGATAGCACAAGCTTTTTACACTAAGTATTACATGTACATAATTGAAACATTTTACACTAAGTATTAAATGTACATAATAATTGAAACTTTTTACACTAAGTATTACATGAACATAATAATTGAAACTTTTTACACTAAGTATTACATGTACATAATAATAGAAACTTTTTACACTAAGAATTACATGTACATAATAATTGAAACGTTTTACACTAAGTATTAAATGTACATAATAATTGAAACTTTTTACACTAAGTATTACATGTACATAATAATTGAAACTTTTTACACTAAGTATTACATGTGCATAATAATTGAAACTTTTTACACTTAATATTACATGTACATAATAATTGAAACTTTTTACACTAAGTATTACATGTACATTATAATTGAAACTTTTTACACTAAGTATTAAATGTACATAATAATTGAAACTTTTTACACTAAGTATTACATGTACATAATAATTGAAACTTTTTACACTAAGTATTACATGTACATAATAATTGAAACTTTTTACACTTAATATTACATGTACATAATAATTGAAATTTTTTACACTAAGTATTACATGTACATTATAATTGAAACTTTTTACACTAAGTATTACATGTGCATAATAATTGAAACTTTTTACACTTAATATTACATGTACATAATAATTGAAACTTTTTACACTAAGTATTACATGTACATTATAATTGAAACTTTTTACACTAAGTATTAAATGTACATAATAATTGAAGTAAATAGAACTAAAGTACGGCCGTATTAAAAAAAAACGTGCAATTGTCTCTAAATGCCTGGATACTTACATGTATAGTTTTTTTATCCTGAAATATATCTGTTGATCAATTTTCATTGATCAACAGAGCAGGCTGTTTTATTAAATTTTCTGAAAACATATTTGAGATTTGATAATTTTCTCTATATAATTGTATTAACTTTAATGATGAACTTTGAAGAAATACTAATGGTAGATACACATTACTTTGAGAATTCAGAGACATTTTTGTGATTATTTTCAATTACTCAGCTCCTGACTTCGATCGGACTACCTTAACTAGCTAATTACAACTACAGCTACAATAAAAAAAAAACTCAACTACTCAATGGGATCTTTATACTAAACAAATATCACTTCTAAAGTGAGAGAGGCACATATTTTACTTTTAAACTAATAAAATAAATAAAAATCTACAGTTTATCAATTTCTAATCAATTCAAGCATTCTTAACATTTTTATAGGGGAAGATAAATTAATTGAACACCTCATCTGTTTTTCCCCACTTGGGTGAGCAATAGTGTTTTCCGTTCATCAAAACTTTGTTGACTTTGAACATTTTTCCTGGTGGGAAAAAGTCAGGCACCCTATATGTTGAAAAAGATTTTAGTGTTGTCATATAGGACGAATCTTAGCAACCGGTTACTCGCTTTCTTTTTCAATCGAGTATCTTATTTGTAAAGTCTTTAGATTTTCAATATTTATCTTATCCTTTACTTATCAGTATATCTAAAGTACAGTACAAATGCATTCCCTATAAGCATACAATATTTACATTTACAAACACACACAATATCTCTGTCAAATAAGTTTGCTTAACATTTATTGTTTGTGATCGAGATGAATTCATTTACTCCGAAATGGGTCATTTTCGGGGTGTATATGTTCATCGCTGGTTTCATATTTTGTTTCAGTCTGAGGTACTTCAGCATAACTAATGTTCCCATCCCTGTATTCTATTTCACACATGACCTAAAATCAACCGTTCTTATAATATATTTCCGTACTTTTGATATCTTCAATTTTTTTAATCCAAATAAACTGCTGATCATGCCGCACAGGTTTAGTTGAGGTAGTTATAACTCAGGTCTTCAAAACTTGTACATGTATAAGCCTTAGCAATCAAAGCATCAGTTAGAAAGACTCACAGATATTGTCACATTGTGGTCAGGACCGTGCTTCTATGACCCCCCTCCCTTAAATAGATTTCTTTTAATTTTCTATATTTTTATTCACTTACCACTTCATCATCATGTTTCTGTTTATAAATCACATGAAAATTACAAGCCAGATGCAAATGAACCCCCATTGTAATTAAAATTTGATCCATTTTAACATTTTAGGAAAATAATGCAATTGCAGAGGTTGACCTGGTCACAGATTCTATAACTCAAATACATGGGCTTGGATTTAAAGACTGGAAAAAATACAAGCTGGACCCTAGTGACAGTGATGGAGGTAATACCCAAATAATTCAAGAATAGAAACAACACCTCCCTTTAATAACTCTTATAATGTTTTGCAGAAAAAAAATTGTAGAATAAAATGACTGGAAAACAAATTCCCAACTCATAACTCATGCACAGAACAAACTACAATATGCCTTACCGTATTATGATATTTTTTGCATTTTGGTTCTTCTTATGATAGTCTTCTAAAAAAGGAAAAATATATATAGTATATATTATTTTATTACAATTTTCGGTTGGACCATCCTTAAAAAATTGTTTGTTTGGAATTGCCGCCTGGGAGGTTTCAGACCCTGGAGGGAGGGAGTGAAATTATTTTTTTTTTTCAAAATTAAATCAAAAATTGATGATAAAAATCTCAATAAGGAATGAACACATTATTTTCTGCCTTTTTGCAAAGGGTATCTCCCATCAACCAGGAACCCAGTTTTGCTTAGATCCTACACTTATTGATTGGGTGGCACATGTGGTAACACATCAAGGATTGAATAAAAAATCTTATTTTTGGTCAATAAAATTTTTTCCAGGAGGGGCCATTTCAATGAGGCGGGAGGCAATTCCAAACAAACAATAATTTTATTTTGGCCTTGTTGAAAATAACACACAAATTAATACTTTCCAATATAGGTATCAACATGTATTCTTACCCGGTTTACGGTATATACCAGCCGAACGCCATAAAAACTGTGACAGTTGGGAGGAGGGAGTTTCTTGTGACAGCCGATGAAGGAGACAGCAAGGATTACTCCGGAAAGAAGCTGACAACTCCGGGATTTAACGAAGTTAAAAGAGTAAAAGATATCGTCCTTTCAGGTATAAAAGATGTTACATACTACAATGTTATTTTTCTAATGCAGAGGACGTAACAATATAATTAATTTTATGATTCTGCAAATTTGTAAAATATATTAATTTTATAAAATAACACGCTTTTATTATTTTGAGAATAATTCTTATCATAATTTTTTTTGTTTTAAAGATAAATCTGAAGTTTTACAATGGGCCAACCAACGAAAAATACCGAATATACAGAACGATGCCTTATTAGGTAATCATCCAAGACTCGTCAAATAAAATCTAGTAAATAAGATCATCTTTAGTCCCTATACCATTACGAAAGTCAAACTTTTTTAATTTAGGGGGTTTATTTCCCCTAATTTGAACATTACAGGCAAGCTACAGATCACCACTGAAAATGGACGGCTTAAAGATGGCACTTTCGACAAACTCTATACTTTCGGTGGGCGTGGTTTCTCTGTGCTGAGATCAGATTCAATGAATCGAGTGTTCGATAGCGGCTCGAGTGTTGAGGAATCACATGCATTACAGTTTCCCAAACTGTTTAATTCCTATGTCAAGTCATCTGCAAATATAACAGACACTTTTGATACACGTTCTGATAATAAGGTATGATACAGCAAGGGTGTTCAACATTATGGCAGTTATGCTAGTATAAATACACTCCTGTATTAAAACGAGGAGCAAACATTCATTAAGACTGTAAATGTATGCCAAAAGGTCCATATATGCCAGGATAAAATAAAACGCATCAAACTAAACTTTTCAGGTACAAAAATTTATTTTTTATTTTAATATAAGGTGAAAAAGAAGAAAAATTCCTAGGCATGCAATTCGAAGAAGATTGTTTTGAGAAAAGCTGTATCAATATTCGACAATTCGTTTTCTTCCTGGCACAAAATTTTAAGCCATAGAGTATACAATGTTAAAAAAAGGAAAATTTCAGCTGAAAATAAGCACATGCATTAGATATTATATCAATAATTTTTGTAAATTAGAGGTATCATGTAAAGGGTCCCAGAATCAGGGAGCCCAAATCTTTCAAATGGCGACAGAACTTTCATTTCTAATATGAATTCCGTCGAGGAGTATACTAGACATTGGGCTATATATAAAAAGTGTGATTTACCGTGCCTACACTGGATTCCAAAACTTCATAAAAATTCTTACAAACAAATTAGGGTCCAGTTTCAACCAAGCCCTATTCCTACTCCTCGCCAAAAGGTTAACTGCTGCGAAGGAGAAACTTCAGATGTATTGTGCTACAACATATTCAAGAGGTGGTGTAAATCAAATATATATTCTAAAATAAATCTAAAGAACTTTGAGAAAATTTAAAATCTCAAAATTTTTCAAATATCAATAGCATCAAAACATACGTCTTTTATACAACCCTTCCTCACAGTATATTAAAGAGTAGGGATTTATTGCTTCTTCAATAGAAATGGGACTCGTAAACTACTACAAATTACTACAAAAAACATTCTGATTCTATTTACAAGACCCTGAAGTTGATTTTAAAAAGATGCTGGAGTTCCTCATTGACAATTTTTTTATGTAGTCTTTGGAGACCAGATCTTCCAACAATATGTTGGAATTTCGATGGGCACTATTGTGCTTCTTTATTAGCCGACATGTTTTTATATTTCTATGAAGATTTATTTAAAAACTTCTACAAAAGACGAAGGAAACTCCTGTTGTGGCATTCAACTCAACATTTATATATATATCGACATTTTTTTTTTATCAATTAACAATTGAACCAATTACTTTCATTCATATCCGGACTCGATACTAGTACATGTATACCCAGTGAACTCGAAATAAAAGACACTACTTACATATGTTGACTCGATATATCCCAGTGAACTCAAAATAAAAGACACTACAGAGTCTGCCACATCTGTTTTATATTTGGATGTTTTACTAACTATAGACGATAATGGCCAATCAATAGCTAAACTGTTTGACAAAGAGGATGACTTCAGCCTTTCACTTGTGTTCCCTAATTCCAACATTACTTGAATATTGTGTTTGTTTCCCAGCTTATTCATTACGCAAGAGCATGCTCTAAGTACGATCAATTTTTAAACCGAGGCAAGCCACTGACAAATGAGTTTATGTTACAAGGATTCAACAAGCCCGTTTAAAGTCAGCTTTTCGCAAATTCTACGGTCGTTATAATGATCTTGTTTGTAAAACAACCTATCGTTGGGTCGTATTTTATCTGACATCTCATACCTTTTCTTAGGTCATTGCTATTATACTAAATTTGACCTCGGAGTACTCCGTTTACCTGATCAACACATAGGGGTCATAGCGGGTGTGACAGGTCGACAGGGGATGCTTACTCCTTCTAGGCACCTGATCTGATGTTTCCAGTGGTCCGTGTTTTTGCCCTGTTTACTGTATTTACTGTTTACTGTCTTCTCTACTGTATTTATAAGATGGATCACTGTTCGTTATCTTCACCTCTTACATGTTTAATTTTTACGTTAAAACTGAAATATTTGAAAATTGTTAGGCCATTGTCTAAAGCTTTCGCCGTTTGTCCGATCATGACAAAGAGCACACGGCGGGTGTGACCAATCGACCAGGGGATGCTTTCTCCTCCATGCCACTTGATCCCACCTCTGATGTTTTAGAAAAAGGTCTGTGTTTCTTCTGCTCCAAATTTGCATTGTTTCAAGGGACTTTTGAGCTTGATTATTGTTCGTTATCTTCATATTTCACAGTATACAACGTCAAACTTAACAGAAACTCGTACTCTGAAATCATGAATTGTGTTTTCTTGGCCGACCCCAGTATCAGCTATATTATTTATCTTGCATTGTAACGAACATTGCCTTTTTTCTTTGTATGAATTCATGCTACAAAGGATCATTGATAGAATAAAATTGAACAAAGATCCAAATGAGGATTAGTGAGTAGTTGTCAAAATATATCCGTGATCGCCAAACATATATTGGTAATAATGTCAAAAGTAAGTCGGAGAGAGAGAGTGTTTCAACCAATTATCTCCTCTATAATCCCTTTTGAAAAAGGGAGATCAATCTTAAATTATGTGTATTAACTTTTCTTTTAATTTTAAGGGACCGGAGAGTGAAAGCCTAGAGGTTGCCTATGACGGTCCACGAGCCATCGTTTTCGTTGGGAACGAAAGACCTGGATCCATTAGTATCTACTCATTCAACAACGACATGAGTGGGGGCACCCTGGAGAGTATATATAGTGGGATTTGGACATTGAATGGGACGTGGGGAGAAGCATTTTCTCAGGGATATATAAGCGACCTGGATCCAGAGAATATCAAGTGCGTAATGAATCAGTTTTGTAACTATTGTTATATAAAATATTCTGACAAACCAGTATCCGCTAGAGATTGGTTGGGTTAAACTTTTAGGAAAAAGGAAGTTGGGAGGCATGGATTAATTTAAAAATGCACATTAATTAATTAAATGCTTTCCTTAACTGTTCTGATACCTAATTTGTTTTATTTTTTCGACGTTAATGATAAGCACATAAAAAGTCATATAAAAGCAAACCTGTAACTGTAAAAATAAAATTGTACTTAAATAACATGAAACGTACAAAAGAATTTTTCAATGCAAATGTTTTGAATATTATTAGATACCTTTCCCCGAACCATAGTCCTAACGGCCAGCCCATGTTGCTTGTTGCTGGATCTGAATCAGGAACTGTTTCTCTCTTCAATGTCAAAGGCATGCGCAGTCGTAAGTGTGCTGAAATTTGCAAGTCAGTTACTAAGCTATGAAAACATCTTGTCAAATTCTTTCAAAAATTGTCCACTTATATATGTACAAAATTAATTAGATTATTTAAAGTTTATCTAAAAAGAAACTTCAGAAATGTTTCTTTTTAATTTGTAAGCTTTACCAAATCCACAAGTCAATTATAGGGTTCAAGTCAAGCCTCTCAGAAGTGAACGTAAGTATTTTGGAGAGATGGTCATTGTATAAAAATAATAATATAAGCTACATATCAAAGAATGTTTCCTGTTGATATTACAGAATAAACATATACATTCACGAAATGACAAAAATTATATTGCAATTAAATATCTAGCATTAATTCATTATATATGTAGTCAGTTGTTTCTAACATTATACTTAGTACAATAATGAAAATAATATTTGCACGTAAGTGTTTGTTAAAATTATTAAATTTATATATTAACAGATGAAAATGAAATTAATAATATTTGCACATAAATAACATATTTTTAAATTTTACATGTAGTTTATTAATATATATAAAATGTGATGGATTAGTGTTTGGATGTATACAGATTTTGAATATATGTAGTGGACAAAGAAGTTAAGGATTACAGAATTAAATTCATGTTATTGCATTCTCCGTTCTTATGGTTTCTCATCTGGTACAGCATCTTTAAAGGAAAAAATATAGTCAAAAACTCCTCACTTATTGAACTGTGATGATAAAATTAAAAAAAAAATGTATCCCATAATTTGTTATTCTGAACATGCTATTTTTAAGCCCCTAAATTTTGCTTCAGAAATGAAGTGCTTGATGTAGAATGGTTTTTATACCATCTTTATATACCGATATTTATGTATTTTGAATTTGTAAATTCATAATGTAATATGATTCTGTAAACAATATCATTTACGTAGTAGCAATGAAAAATGTTTTGTTTGAATTGTTTCAAATGAATTCAGTCACTACAAAAGTTCGTTTCAAAAGAAAGTGATCCTTTACTTTTTTGTCCAGTATATTTATATAAAAATTTCATTTATAAATAGATATGACAAATATATACTCAAAAATACAATATTGGTAATAACAGCTAGTTATCAAACAAGATCTAATGTGAAAATATTCATTAAATATGTGGGGAAAACTGATGGTCAAATATCTAATTTCTCGATGTATTAAATTTAATTTATGACTCGGTACGAGTTGAAAGTACTGATATCATGAGAAAAAGACATTTTCTTGGATTTTAGCCCTTAAAGAAACATCAACCACAGAAATTGCAGCCACAAAAACCATTTCCAACAACGGGGCCAAAGGTATGATATTTGTATCATTATTTTTATTTCCACTCAGTGGCTTTTTATTTCATTTCTACAATATCGCCGATGTTGTTCTAGCGGACAATAAAAATTACATTACTTTTAGATAGAACTGCAGAAATGGAAGAAAATATATGCTTATGTTGTATCTCTCTCAGAAATATTCTACTTCTAAAATTTAGGACAATTATTTTACAATCCTATCTTTATGCTTCCTTTTCTCATACAGGAAACAAACAAATTACCAAGAAACGCAATAAATCTAACAGAAAGCAAAGGAGGAATATTCAGCGGAAAACCAAAAGGAACGTTAAAAGGAATAATAAAAACTCCCCCAACAAACGGGGTAGAAAACTCTCTCGGAAAACCAAAACAAAGGGTAAATTTTCTAGGAAAACCAAAACGACAGCAAAAAAGAAAAAATCAAAGAAAACAAAATCAAGGCAAAAATCTAAGACGAAAACCTCAAAAAGGAAAAAGTCTTCAAAATCGAAGAAACAGAAACGTTCGTCAAAATCGAAGGGGAAGAAAAGGTCGAGTAAAAAGTCGAAATCAAAAGTCTAGAGGTCAGATTTGAAGGCCAACTTTAACTTTTCATTGACTGTCAAAATGCAAATTAAGATTACATTTTGGAAATTTGTGAATGTTTTCATATGCATTAATTTGTCTAATTAGTAGAACATGTAATAAAACATTACTCGTTTCGTCTGTAATGGTTTGTCTGAGTTGTATATTAAGGAGGTTGGATCCTGCCATCAAAAGTAATGAGAATTTTTTATCAAGTATATTTTTTAGAAATTATACACATAGCTTTATTAAAAATCGAAACAAAAAATGGGGGTCAATGCGCTTCTTTTGGCGCTACAGAGCATTTAGTTTGACCTTTTTGCACTGTAAATACGTCTTACACATAAATCAATTTTTAAAGTTTCTACTCCAATAATTTTTGTTCAAATAAATAATGGGGACAAAAACGGTCTTATTTCATCTTAAATAGACACATTAAAATTTGTGACAATGAAGAAATTTTCAAATTACTCCGCATGTTCAATTATTTGACCTTTTTGCACTCAAACATTTTCATTTTTCTGGGATTAAAAATTTAACAAGCAAAAAAATCATTTGAAAGTAATGACATTTTACTGAATTTAAGAAGAATGGTTAAAAGTATCGTATATATTCAGAAAAGAAAATCAAAAGTGGGGGTCTGTGATGTTAATTTTTAGATATTACTAAAACAGTGCTAATTTTAAGCTTAAATTAGGGCTATTTTTTTTCTTCATGTTCACAATATATTTGCTATATTTATCATATATGATGATAGAATTCATGACAGTTTATTTAATAGATAATTTAGGACCAATATAAAACAGTCCAATGCACAAAATAACTCTGTGTGCAGACTGCATGTAAAAATAGGAATCCAAACTTAGCATACTTTAAATACTTCGAAAGAGAAAAAATGATCATTTTCTTCTAAAAAACCTTCCGCCACAAAATATAGTTCCTCACTTAATGCTTTTAGTATGGAATTTAATCATGGAGTTTTAACTGAATATAGTTAAAGTGGCATCGTAGAATTCAAATTTATTGTAAGAATTAAAACATTATGCAGAGTTTTTGAAATATAGGTTAAGATAAATATTTGCTCAAAAGCTCAGGAGCGAACCTCGTTAAGGAATGTATGCATATAATTTACTTGTAGTTAAAGTTAAACATAGGAAACCCTAGTAAATGTTTTGTAGCAAAAAGGATAGTAAGCTTTTGTCATAGGGTGGGAAGAAATCGGTTATATATATATATATATATATATATATATATATATATATATATATATATATATATATATATATATATATATATATATATATATATATATATATATATAAAAGGGATGGCAATCGAATACAGAATTGCTAATCGGTTAACCGCAACAACACGTTCCGACCGATTAACCGGTTAATCGTATAAAACTACACATTTTCTTGACTTTTTTCAAGTAGATCTATTCCTACGCACAAGAAGACTTAAAAACAATGTTAGAAGTTTAAAAAAAACATTCTATTTGTCTTTATTCTTGATCAGGAAATTACATGCATATATTTTTTATTTCAATAGACAGGGAAAAAAATCAGAAACCATGAAACATGCCTGAGAAATCGTGAATAATTTTCCAAGCAGATGTCAAACAAGTTCATTCTCATTGTCACCATAATCAAATCTAAGTCTAAACTGTATCACTTAATTTACAATGTTTGTTTAATAATCTAATTTGATAGATAATTGCTAAAGATACACACCAATTCAAAGTGCCCAGCGGTGATTATTATCATTAAAGAATTACAGGACAGTCGGGGGACACATGGTGTTTTAACAGTAATTTACACATCAGTGACTGACCAATTACCGCACAATTTTAATCCGGAGAGCCATAATTACCTCTATTTCAGCTTAAATAAATATGTGAAAATGCTAAATTATCAACGTTTAAGCAGGGATTTCTTTTTAAAAAATAAATTTTGAGAAGATTGCGTTCAATTTTACATATATTTTATTTTTTTCGACTAACCGATTACAGATTTTCTATCTGATTGACATCGTTCCGACCGAGTAATCGGTTAACCGGTTAGAAATTGACATCCCTTATATATATATATATATATATATATATATATATATATATATATATATATATATATATATATATATATATATATATATATAAAGCACACGAAGTCTACAATGAACTCCATAACTATACAACATAACTGCCGTAGGTTATGAAATACTATTATAGAGGAGAGCATAGAGCGATTCATTATACAGGGATACCCACTTCCTCCCGTTCTGGGATTGAACTTTCGCCCTGCGGAACCTGTATCCAGCGTGCTAGACCTCTCGATCATCTAGGCAAGTTAATGAACTTGCTTTTGATGGCGATGAAATTCTCGCATTTATTTGGAATAGAAGTGAAATACAGCTATTGTGGCCGTTTTTATAGGAGGATCGTTACTGATTAAAAAAAATCCCATGTTTCCAGCACGTAATATTTAACTTTTGTGAAAGTAAAAAAAAAATATTGATTTTTTTGTTGTTTTTCAATCCATGATTTATTTTGAGATTCGATGTTTTTTCGAACAGAAGAAACGGTTTCATCGGTAGTTTTCATTTGCTGCGACTGTGTTTGTCCTTCCTGAAAGAGGTTTACGGGATGTTATCCTTCTCAATTAAAAGTCTTCTTCTCTGTGCCCTACATGTAACTGCCTTACTGTCGCTGAAAATTATAATACGAGTATGTATGTTATTCTACATTGTCAGTAGGAATATGAATTTCATTTTACTTTAAAACATAAATTGTGTTCAGAAAATGCAAGAATAAAATAACGTTATCATTCTTTCGATCCATTCTCCAAAGAGTGTTTTGCAACTTCATCACAGGGCTCTTTTTTATCCTATTTACTTATTTATACGCCATAATAGGTAAGGATTGGTATGCAAGAAAAGCCGCCTTAATATGATCAATATTAATTTGACTTTACGAATCCTTTCGAAAAAGTAGAACATTCAACTAGATTGTGAATTTTTTAACCCATCCGCTCACCAAAGAAAGAATTTCAGATATACAATGAAACACATATCTGATATCAAAGATATTAGCTTTTAATATTACAGCAAACATTATTTTATCAACCACCTTTTCTGTATCCTTTTTTCCTTTCTATTTTATTTATAAACGTATATATTGATTATATGCCATAAAATTCATATTTTTAACAATTGATGTAAGCTATATCAATTAATTTGTGTTAGTGGAACATGAATATGTGAAATAAATTCAGTTACGAAGTGGGGACAAGGAGTTAAGAATAAGGACTGTGAACATTTCGGGCAGTTAGAAATTGGAATATTTTGTGTTCAGTATTTTTTGCTGTCTAATCGTTACAGTGAAATACCTTACAAAGGTTGATTTATGCATAATAATTTTCATAAGTCACACATTTATGTTAAACATTCTTCATTCATCTAGATTTATCACTGAAATGTAAAAAGATGTACAAAAAATTGCCCTATTATAAAGTGCATTCTCTTTTATATCTCAGACTTCTTTTATCCCTGGCATCTAAGGCGAAGACTGAGTTATACCTAAAAGTTGTTTTTATTTTATATGTGTTAAATCTGTTTAATGGTTTTTGAATTTGTAAACGAATGAATTCCATATTCTAAAATTTACATGCTTTGAATATTAATGCATGTTATTTTTATTCAGTTTGTCATGTTACATTGTTTTTTGTAAAGGGCTATTTTAATATCGTGATAAGTTATTTAGTAATTCAAAGACCCTATTCAAACGAGGAATCTGTGTAACAAGTCAGAAGGTGAAAGTGAGAGATCAAGTTTTTTAATGTGTAATTAAACATTTAATGCGGTATTACAGAAATAAGTGCTTGTTACCATCTGTAATTATGTTTAGATCATACTGCCCACGTAAATATTTCAAGGTGACCACATATTGTCATAAAAATCCTTATGGCCTCACGCCGACAAGCTCAGAGCAAGGATCTAAATAATTTTATTGTTCACTGTTAACAGTAGAGTTTTTTATATATATATATTCAATATGGAAGGTGTAAACACTTCCTGTTTTGTGCCATTTTTCTTACAGTTGGTTTTTGCTACATATGTGTTATGTGGAAATATTCATTTGAACAAAATATCTACCTTATACATACCTGTGTCTTATACTGCTGGGGCACCTGTTTTCTCGTTGAGGGGAGGATCTGCCGAACAATTAGCGTATGATTCACAGGATAAGATAGTGTACATCGTTGGTAAGTTCCTAGTATCACGATGAAAATTTTACTGTTATAAGAGGTTTTTCTAGTTTCTAAAATTAAGTTACTGTTTTGTGTTTTTTGAACAACTCTTTCTAAATTCTTGAGCTTTTCAAATCATTTTCTTTATTGAATTTACGACTCTTAATCTTTATTGAATTAAAACATCGGCGATTTCAGATAATCCAAGCCAATTGGGTTTAACACCTGTCATCGTTTGATATTGCTAAATTATCTTTAGGCAAAATAACATCAAAAGGACGATAATCTGGCCCTCAATTATTTTAAGGGTTTACTCAAGTGTCAAAACCTTATATGCTGTTGAATTTGTTTTGGATGATCAGTGGGAATCGGACAGCCGTCCCGAGTACACCGACCTGTATCAAAATTTGTCAGTTCCATATTAAAAGTTAAAAAGCTGGTTTCCTCCCCCTCCCCCTTATTAAGGGAACTTTTAACGTAAAACTATGTATCTTATTTCTGATATATATCTTATTTCTTTTCTTTCTTTAGTTGATACAAATGTTTTTAACAGAACTAGAGGCATGTTCATCTCGTACAAGCATTCATATGTTAAACAGAAACAAATGGATTGTTGTACAAAAAAGTGCATGAATGTCACTTTGACTTAATTCAAATAATGAGAAATGTTATTCATGTAATTGATGAAAATTTAATTCACACCACTTCCTCCATGAGACAAAAAATAAAACAAGCATCAAAATAGAAACCTGACACCACCTCTGCATAAATATAAATTTTTAAATATTTTTTCTTTGCAGGAGCATCCAAACTTAATGTTATCGACATTTCAAATGTCCAAAGCCCGAAGATTCTTTTCAATATCAGTTTAGCTGATTCTGATCCCACTGACGTGGAAT